GGCCCCCCCCCCCCCCCCCTTTGAATTGTAAGTGTGGGTATTCACATACTTTTGATCATAGTCATCTTTTTCAGACCCGTTAGGCATAGTCTGCCAACTCCTGGGGGTCTGCGGACCACAGGTGTAGACTAAGCACCTGGGACACAGAACAGGTGGAAAGATAAGGATGTAAATTATAACTTGAGGTCAGTATCTCCTAAAAATTGAATGTAAAATGGGGGGTAAACTTGCAGCTGAGGTTAAATGGACCTGTTCCATTAAATCCTTGCTCATTGCAGGCAAAGTCAATCCCTTTAGATTCCTTAAGATATAACTTTTATGTTTGATGCATGTGTGAGAGGGGGAGATATCAATGGCAGAGTATTATGTATGTATGTAGAGAGAGAGAGTTTATTACAGTATTAATTTTCCTGTGTTAAATCACGATTCCTGTGTTTTCTTTTAAAGGATCAAAGTAACAATGAAATTATGATTGGAGTGATGTCAGGAGGAATACTAATTTATAAGAACAGGGTACGAATCAACACTTTTCCATGGTAAGGAAGACTATTTCCAGCAAATACTTTTGCAGTTATTATTTTAACATTTTAAAAAAATAAAAATAGCTTTATACTAAAAAGTGTCTGGAAATTATTCAGTCTTAGTATTTCAAATGGGAGAGATTCACTTTGCATACTTTTCAATGGATGTGATGAATGCTGGTTTTCATTCTGGAAATGTTCAGGCTGTACTGCTTGAATGATTTCAGTGCACAGCATGGTTTAACTGCAGTGTTGCTGCAAGAATTTGGAACCTTATTTTGCTTTAATGAGATTATACAGCCAGGGTGAACATCATGGGAATTATAATACAGTTGTAGTTCAGAATCCTTAAAAGGGATGGTTTGGTGTGTTGGCAGAACTTGGAAATCTAGTTTTGATCAATAGGATGAATGCTTGATTTATCTGGGTTTTTTCTTCTGTAGTTTAATTGGACTGACAGTATTAAATGTATATTACTGGCTGGGTGCAGGATGTGAAAACAGCAAAGGTGGTATATTCAGTAGCACCATTTTCTCTCCCTTCATACATAGAGTGATTTTTTTTTTTTTTTTACTTCATGTTCAAGTTAAATTAAAAGGATTTGAGGAAAATGTGATATTTTTCCCTTTAAGTATATTGTAGTTTTAAAAGTTAGACTATTGGGTTTTACATAGAAATTGCCATATTTCAGTGGTGTTCAGCGTAATCCATACTAAGACTGTCCTCCCAAGAACTGCCCTAACCCATGTAAAAGCAAAAGTGATCGTGAAGCTCAAATTTGTCAATAGCCTTAAAGAAAGAGATCATTTTGCTCAGAAATTACTTAGTTGGCTTTCTCTGCCTGTTTAGAGTTCATTCTGGCAGTCTCCTTTATCGCATGTCAGTGCATGTACTTTATAAAACTTGAGTGGGCTATGAGCCAGACTGCAATTGTCATGAAAATGAATGATGAACTCTGTTCACCCCAAGATAATAAGTATGTTAATGCTTTGCCTGTTGATTGATTTATTTGCTCTGAGTGAGTTGATAGATTTTTGAAAAGTTGGTCTAAATCCTTGTTCATTTGAGCTCAACTTACCCTGATAGAAAAGTCTTCTCTAGGCAAAAGCCAAGGATCTACTAAATAAAGATATGTGTTTAAAGGAATAACAGAACAGAATGCTGATTTTTTTTTTTTTTTTTTTTTTTTTTTTTTTTTAAATTAAAAAAAAAATTGTTTTTAAAGAAAAAAAAAAAAAAACCACCTTTTTTTTTTTTTTTAAATTAAAAAAAAAATTGTTTTTAAAGAAAAAAAAAAAAAAACCACCTTTTTTTTTTTTTTTTTTTTTTTTACTTTCTCAGATTAACAAAAAAATGTTAGGTAGCATGATTCAAGTAGATAGAAGCTGGGACGAGAGAAAATTTAGAATTGCATTATAACAAGATCACATGAGATGGCATGTTCATGCTGGAAGCGTACATGCAAAGGGGCATATAGTACTTGGTATAAGCCACAGTGTGATTGTAACCATGTCCGGGCCCTGAGGGCAGCTGTGGCACCTCTAGTGGCATCACTGATCCTGCCTCCTGCTTGGACTTCTCTGGGTACCACCCTGCTGCCTCACCTGACGTGTCTTTGGAATAGAAATGATGGGAGGCTGTCCTAACCCACCAGAGGGCAGAGGGGCTTCCTCAGGCAGATCTCTCTCTTTGCCTAGGTTCAGTTCACTGGACTGGTCTGCCCTTCTTATTCATAGCCTCTCAGATAGGCTCACTCATTAGCCCTTGGGCTTCTGGTGGCCTGCTGTCAGGTTCTGGGAGGGCTTTGGGGCTGCCCAGTCACAGGGAGGGGGGAGGCTGTTACAGTGATGTACTTCTGCATTCATGAAAATAGGTTTTCTTTGTGGAGCTCTTAAAATTTATCTCTAATTGTGAGTCCTGAGCACTCATGAAAATTTGTTCTGTTTTAGGTCTTCTAATTGGGCACCAATACATGTGCCCAATGCCTGTTCCTATGTGTTGGATGCTCCAGCAGCCTCAGCATCACGTGTATTCAGTGACCCTTGTTTCTAAATGGTGGCAGGGGCGCTTTAAAGCTCATTAAATGAGCTTTAGTTGAAGGACCCCATCACCATTTTGAAGCGCGGGATTCTGAAGACACGAGATATTGTAGGTGTTTTTAATTAGAGTGGCTCCCAAGAGCTGCTCTAATTAGCCCCCCTCCCTCCCACCCTGGAGCATGTGTAAAAATGCCCATTCAGTTTCTTAAATGACAGTAAAAACTTAAAGAACAACTGTGTAAGAGATTTTTTTACTCATTAAAGTTAATTGTCATAGAAATGGTTTGTGTTGAATCTGTCCCAGGTGTACTCTCCTGGGAGCTGTTGTATTGTTCAGACAAAGCAGACAGAAAGGGTAATTATAAGATGCTAGTCTACAAGTCAAATGACTTGTGTTCACTCCCTTTCTTCTCCATAGATTTCCTGTGTGAATTTGGTTGAGGCATTTAATCTTTCTGTGGCTTACTTCTTTATCTCTGAAATGAGAAGAGTAATGCCTGCCTGCTTACCAGATTGGTGTGAGGATAGATACATTCACACATTATTTTAGTGGGGACCATATAGTATGAAATTGGGCCCAAAGGCACATGCTTTTGAATAATTTATTTCCACGTATGGTGGTATTATGCTTGGTCATTTCTTTGCCTGTTTTTCGTGATGGTTATAACTCTGAAAAGTGAAATAACTTGTATAACAATTATGTGAAGATAATGTTATGTCCATAGTAAGTTAATTTTTTACATGATATTAAAGGGAAGGTTTTTAGTATTTCTTGACAACTTTCTGATTTAGGGACAATTGTACCCTGTTATTCACAACTTACTGGTAGGGCAGCCCTACACTGAAACTGTTTAATAAAGGTAGCAGCGATACATTCTCATCACAATAGAACAACATAGCAAAGCGTTTGTCATTTTTTTTTAGTCTCTTGGTGAGACCAGCTAGCGCCAGATTTCGGTGCTGTATTTTCATAAATGCTTTGTTGCTCTTTTTTGTAGATCAAATTACTTCTCATTCTACCTCACAGTTGTCTTTTCCATGGAGTTGGGAACTTCTTATCCATTAGAATAGAGTTTAAAGCAACTTTTGAGGATCTATTTATGAAAGCCAAAGCCATTTTATTATAAATGGCTCATATGGTAGTGGATTGCATTGCACTTTGGCAGATTGATTCAGTATTTCAGAAGGAGATAAATTGTACATCTATTGGTGAAAGTCCAACGCCTGAACTGGGGCCAGGCTGTTAATATTCATTGGAAGACTGAGTTATAAGTTGCTTACTTGTAGATGACTTCAGCCTTCTGTAGTGTTTATTTTCAGTTTTAGTTTTAATGTTTAAAAGATGAATAACCTTTGTTTGACCTTGAGACTTCACAATCTAAGGAGAGAAATGCAATGAATACCTGTACAGGAGAAAGAGAGAGAAGTAGGGGATAACTTAGCATTTAGCATAACAAGTGGTGGTTTTGATTCAGTACAGATGAATTCTGGAGGCAGTAGTAAATAGATGCCCTATTCCATGCTAGGACTTTTATTTTAATTTTTTTAGTTTTTATTGCACTAAAATAAATGGAATGGGGAATGAGATTAATAGAAAAGCTTTAATTAAATTGAATGGACAGTCATGCAGTCTGGGCAGGAAAGTGAACAGTTGTAAAAGGGAAGTAGAGATTGTCATGGGGGGAAAAGTAACTTCCTCTTTGCTATTCCCTTCATAATACCATTATTTGTCCTAGATCCATCCTTCAGATTTGCATTTTTCCTCTGGTCTCTTCCTCATCCAACTAACTCGCAGCCATGCTGATGGACCCTTTCTGTGATTGCATGGTACTGGCGTCCTAACTTGGCTCTTTATACAAGATGTATTGTGAACAGCCAGCCTTTACTACTGCTAAAAACTGGTTTGATGCTCAGCTCCTGAAGAGTGCAGGATGTAAATAATTACATATTAAAAACTGTTAAAGCACAATATCAAGATGATGAAGTCAAGCATTCAGAAGTTGGAGAATGCCAGAATTAAGGTTGACCTCCCAGGTGTAAGCCTTAAGATATCACAGGATAGCATCATAATCTACCTTACAAACCTGCCAACTTCAGCTGTTAGAGTAACTGGTTGTAGTAGTTGGTTGCCATCCTTTTAGTGCCAGCAATACTGGGGAATGGATTACTTTGCCAGTTGGTTCTACAAATATTTGCTAACAACAGAAGCTTTGGAAATCTTGATTCCATTTCACCCTGTGAAAGGGAGCATCCATGAATTGGTATAGACTAGGAATCAGCAGTGTTGCCCAGGGGAGTGTCTCAAATGACCCAGTTTGGCTTGGGACCCAGTCGCTGCCACCATTTCTCTGCAGCTCAGCTTCAGCATGGTATGACGACCACCCCCCCCCGCCCACTTTTGCTGCAGCCTGAGCCACCGGACTGCATCAGTGCACAGGCAGAGCTCCCCCTGCCGGAGCCCGAGGTGGCTGAGTGTGGCACAGTGCACAGCAGGAAGAGCCTGTTGCATGCCAGATTTGTCCCTCCGGCTGTAGGTTGCTGGCTCCTTGTACGGACTTAGGAACTACACCTGTTGGCCCTGGAGGTCCCTTGCAGTCCTGTGTTCATCCTTGGTTCAGTCTTATGCTCGCTGGTGTACGCCATCAGACTCTCCAACCCTCAGTTTCTTGTTTCAGTCCTAATCTCCAGCTAGTCATAGCCCCTCTTCCCTGCACGCCCCAATTCTTTATTCCCAGTCTTCTTGCTTACTACAGTTCCCTGTTCCTTTTCTTACTGTCTGATCTGTCCTTCACTCCTGCTAGCTCCTAGGCTTTCAGACTGGGCTGTCTTACTTATAGAATATAGAATGTAATCTCTATGAGCATGCATGGCTTTGTAGTTCTTTGCAGTGCCCTAGCTCTTTTGGGTGGTGTAAAAATCATTAATTAGCAACATTGTTAACTGACCTCTAATTATACTTGTATAAACCTGTCGGCA